CAAGATATTTATATTTAAAGTTAAGAAAACTTTTACTTAGAAAAAATTTGTCCCATTTCTACTGACTCCCCCCATATGTTAAGTTACTAACTACTAGTATGTTCTATTATTAGGATCAAAAGTGTAGGTATCAAATTTATAGAGAATTTATATAATGTGAGACAAATTTTACTAAAATCAATGATCAAAAAAGTAAATAAAGACAATATTCAAGAAATCTGGCAGATTGCTGATTAATGACTAGTCAATAATTAGTGAAAGCATTTTATCATTATTATAGATTCTGTTTCTTATCTATGTATATGTATGTCTAATATTTCCCATGTATTATTATGTTGACATTTTTTTTAGGTGTTGCTAGTATCACAAATTGCTAGATTTCATATAAAAATGATAGCAACTTGTTAGTATTGTGACAATAAAAAGAAGCAAATGATCAATTAAATATTATCTTTGTAAATAAACATGCTGCTCATTTTCAACAAAACAAAATCATTCAAATTATCCCCCAACTAGCCACTATACCTTCTTCAGTAACAATGAGTAATCAATGTGCTGCAGCTCGGTATTTAAAATATGGTAAATTATAGGGTCTTGCTTGGCAAGCCACACAGCTTACAGTTGACTATAATGATGATGAAATGACACAATGGTTAAAAACATTTATTGATCAAAAGAAGCATTTTCTAGCAAATAATAACAAAGACAACCTGTTAACTAACGAATTTGATGATGATAAAGATGATAAAAACAATAATTTCATAGTTGCTAATCTGCCAATCAACAAATGTAAAAGTAGACCTGAAATAAAAAGTAGACCTGAAATAAAATGATACAAGTCTGCTGTAGAAAAAATGCGTCATCAGCTCTATGCTTGCCGTACTTGCAGTCAAACCAGCCATAATAGTACAAGATTCGAAAGAAAAAAGGTAAATTTAGCGGTGGAATATTAGGTGCAGATGAAATATAGTATACAGACACCTACTTTATATCAATTTATTAATCATAATGATATCTTTATACTATATTTGATCTGATCTATTAGGTACATTATTTGTGAATATTAAATTCAAAGTTTGTAAATATTTAGTAGTTTGAGGCTTTCTGAAAATTATTATAACTGTTGCAATTGCATATTATTGGAAAAGTTCAACAATGATGTAAAAAATTATTCAGATTCATGATTATATTATTATATTAGTATTATAATACTAATATATAAATATGTTTGCTTTTTAATTTAATCAATTTTTTCTCATTAATATGATAATAAATGTAGAATCAATTTTCTGTTCATATATTTCTTTAAGTTTTTGAGCATGAAAATTGATAAATTGAATTTTCAACCACCTTTTAGATTGTTTTATTTTTGGCTAATGTGTAAATTATTACATAGTTGAGTTTGAATTTACACTACTTGAGCATGGCCGAAGAAAATCAAATTTAGGCTAATTAGATTTTTTAAAAATTGGGAATCAGGTTTTAAGAAAAAAAGCCTGAATGCTAGTTTTTGCGTAAGTGTATATTGCAGAGCATTTATTGCAAGTAGTTTAAGTGCAACTACATATAATATTTGAATGATCAAATAATATATATTTAGAGAAGTTACAGGAAATATATTTAAGAACCAGCTAGGGCAAATCTTCTAAAGTGTTAATCACATAATGAATTTCAAAGCTGCAGTACACAAAATACAATATTGGCTCTGTAGCAATCTATGAAGTTTAGTATAGAAAATGTGATAAAATATACTATTTTATATATAATAATGCATTGCAACTTGTATTCTATATATCATTATATAGTTAATATAGTAGCTGTGAAACTTATTGTAAGGGGTTAGATGTAGATTCTACTCATAGGGGTACAACGACGCACATGACATGTGACTTGCATAACGAACAAATCGGGATCGATGAATACGAAGCACATGATTGCACTGCGGAAGGTCACGTGATGGTCCGATTAAGTTGGAGATGTATTCGTAATAGTAGTAACGGGCTGTGTTATGCGCATGAATATGTAGTAATTAATAGTAGTAGTAGCAACCCATGTTATGCGTATGAATAATGTAGTAATTAGTAGTAGTAGTAGTAGCGCATAATAAATGTAGTCATAGGATAAATTCGTATAAGCAATAATTGTGTTAGTAAGGAAAAAGGTCGAATTAGTTTTAGCTATAAATAGGGAAGAAGGTTAGTTAGTAAAAACGTTTGCTAAGAAGAAAAATAACCAAGTAATAAAGAAAATACTTCCCCTTTTGCTTATAAATGGCAGGCTCCTTTTTAAGTTGTAATAAAATCAGCCTTAATATTCTGATCCCGTTACACTTATCGTATGATTATATTTGTTCATCATGTGACTTAGCTTAGCTTCTTTTATGTGACCTGTGACAAAAAAAAATTTAACAGGGTGACAAATAGATTTCTTCTATAGTTAAAATAGTATTTATTATTATATATTAGTTATTATATATTTAGATAGTATATTTCATAGTAATTGTATAGGAATATTCTAATTGGCTATTAGAAGTGTGATGTAGTTACATGACCTCACATGACCTCAGATGATACTAGGTTACATAAAAGAATACTTTAGATTACACAAAGATATTATACAAAAAAGTAATGCAAGTTTATCTTCTTCTTTCATATGAACACTTTTTTCTTCCACACAAACACCTTTTTCTCCTGCATGAACATCTAATTCTCTGCACAAGTCCTAAATATTTCAAACACAAAATACTGTGCAGCAAAGTCCTCTAATTCTTCAACACAAGATGTAAATAAATATAAACATAATGAGTAATGTTTATATTTCCTCTACTTTACTCAGCATGATCACCTTCTTTACCCAACACAATACTCTACTTTCTCTATACAAGTTCACCTTCTTCACCTGCCAAGTATTACTCATATACTGTGTATTGTATATCCTCCTTGTGGGTAAAAAGATATATAAAGGGTGCCTTTTCCCCCTTCCTGCCAATTCTTAAGTTCCTACACTTCGTTTTGACTCTGATATCTTTAACCTTTCTTATCTTGTAAAGTATAATATTCCCTTTCTAGGGTAATTTCTATAGGCAAGGCTTATCACCATTCTTGCATTAAATAAAGCTATTCTATATACTGTTACTATTTTGAACCATTTGTCTACTGCTTTGTAGTTAAGTGAACAACTATGCCTCCACCCCATATATATTTGCAATAGTCAATCACTGTACCAAGTGTCCTTGTTACTTGGTTGTATTTTACTAAGAAGGCTACAACCCTGTAACATTTTGGTGCCTCCTGGTGGAAACATAAAATTTTGTGAGAAGCAAAATTTATTCTCTTAGAAGCAAACCTCTCTCTCTCTTGGAATAAAATCTTATTGCAGAAATTATTTTTAATTCTCTTGAAACAGCAGAAGCTATTGAAAAAGCATTCTGGAAAATTATATTTTTGGTATACCACTACTAACTCAACTTGAGTTATATTTACAGTCAGTTCTCTCTATAATCACCAAGTCTGTCACACCCTATTGTGGTGATTGTATAGAGGTGTGACTATAATCAAATATCAGATTATTATCACATGATCTTTAGCCAATCAATAATTAATTGATAATTCATTAATCATAATCGTCCAATATTTAAAAGTTTTTTGTACTAAGTTAACCACCTTTGAGTCTTTAAATAAAGTTATAGAGCTCATTAAGACAAATTTAATGGTAGTTAAATTATCAAAATTGGTTTAGTGGTTGCTGAGATATCTTCAAAAAACATTTCGCTGACTATATAAATTCTTCGTAAACAATATAAAGAATTTTTCTATAGTTAGCAAAACGTTTTTTGAAGATATCTCAGCATCTGCTAAGCCAATTTTGATGATTTAACCACTATTAGATTTATCTTAATGAGCTCTACAACTTTACTTAGAGACTCAAAGATGATTAACTTAATCAAAAACCTTTTAATTAATAAATTAGTAATTATAAGGAGGTTTTAACAAGGAGTTTAGGATTTCACCTCCTACTATTACTAACTTTCTTGTTAGCTATATATATATTTTGTTTAAATTTTGAAATTACATTTTGTTATCTTTACTTGAGTTATTTTCTTTTGTTTTATTTACAAATTTTATTTTATTTTGTTACTGCTAGCAACTTTCTTCAATTTATTTTATTTTTTTCTCTATCATTTTATTGTTTGTTATTATTAATCTTCTTTACAGAGATTTTTATTTTATTTTATGAGAGATTTGTTAACTCATTATCATCTAGAAAATATTCAAAAGCATAAACAATCTCATCTCAATAACCCTTTTCTTGCTATTACTGTTCTTCAAACTATTACACCTGATTTAACCTGATTAAGTGCTAGCCTATAACACTTACTCTTTGTAGATGTTTTAGAAAATTTTGGAAATAGTATTCTCAAGTCTATAACGCTACTACCTACAGTCAAGCTACTTGTTCTAGTTTTATCAGCTAGTTACTATTGATCGAGCTAAGCCCATTTAGCTATTCAAAATATTATTTTTAGTTGCCAATATAGAGAAACTGTATCTAATTCTCAATTAACTGCTCAACTTATTTAAGAAAACATACCTCTTTCTATAATCTTTGTAAAGCTTTGAATATCTATATTAACTACTATAATATTTTTATTAACAACCCTACTGCTACTCAGTCTTATTTTCAATTATTATACTCAGACAAAAAACAACAAACTACAGAAGAAACTACTACACCTAATTTATCACCATCTTCTTCTGATACTATTATTAGAATAGGAACACCTGTTATTGCATCTACTTCTACTACAACTCCTACTACTTAATCAGAAAGAAGAAAAGAATCTTTGACCCTATTTGATACTCAAAATATTAATCTAAAAGAAGCCTCTTTATCATCTACTCCTTTATCTAAATTTATTCAAAGGGTTTATAGAACTTTGGTATCTTATAGTCTTTGTCGAACTGCATCTTCATCTACTTCAGGATCACACCAGGATGATACTCATTCTGTAATTACAGAAATTCCAATTATCACTGAAACTGCATCAGTGCATACTGCAGAAGAAGAAGTTACTACCTTAACAACTTCATTTGACCAAAACTATCAGCCTATTTATCTTAATATTAAAACATCTAGTTCACCTCCAAATCACCTTTATCCAGAAATTTTTAGTTCATCCTCAACTTATTCTTCAACCTATTCTCCAATCTACCTACAACTTCCTGAAATAACAACTAGTCCTATTCATCGTAACCAAGAAGAAACAAATTTTGAACAAACAGAATCAAGAGATATATTAGAACAAAATACTCTTTCTGAACAAACTAATTTAACACCTCCATATAAATTAGATAGTTCAGATACTGATGAAGAAGAAAATATGACTGAAGCTTGATTACAAGAAGCTGCCAAAGCTATGAACCGGTTAGCTCTAGCTCTTAGAGGAGAAAGTAAAAATCTCTTATCAAGATTAAGCCATTTAAAGGAGATGGTACTGAATATTCTGTTGATTGGATTAATGAATTTGAACAAGCTGCTACTGCTAATAATTAGAATGCTGCTCAAAAACTTGCAATTACTAAGGCTTATATGCAGGACAATGCAGAAGACTGGCTCAAAGGATTAGAAGATGGTGTACTTGAAAGATATGATACTGGTAATGAAGACAACCAGTTTAAAGCACTGTTTTTAAAAGAATTTACAACCCTCAAAAAGCAAGCTACATGGCAACAAAAATTATTTGATCTGAGACAAGAAAACTATATTGTAGATACCTATGCTGCCCAGTTTAAGAAATTGAAAAAGAAAGTAAATCCAGAACTAGAGCATGTTT